ACACTTGCGCAACTGCGCAGTGTTGTAAATCAAGTCAATCCATGTACAACAGTCGAAGAATGTATTCAACAGCTGAATGAAAATCCTGAAGAGATATCATTTGTTATCTCCTCAGGCGCACTTGGACAAAACCTAGTGCCAGGCGTCCATGGCATGACAAAATTAAACGCCATATTCATATTTTGCCGTAACAAACAACGGCATAACGTATGGGCCCAAAATTGGTCAAAAATCAAAGGTGTCCACACAACAATCAAACACATATGTGAAAAGCTGACAGTTGCTATCAAACAGTGCAATCAAGATAATGTACCTGTGAGCATTGTTGGCGTGAATGCAGGAGGTTCTAGCAAGAATCTAGATCAGCTAGAACCTTCTTTTATGTATTCCCAAATATTCAAGGAAATACTCCTTGAGATACCACATTGTCATCAAGACTTTGAAGACTTGATTATGTTTTGCCGAAAAGAATACAAGGACAATCCCCAAGAAATCAAGAATATTACAGATTTTGAACGTACTTATCACGCAACAAAAGCCGTTTGGTGGTATACGCGTGAGAGCTTCACGTACAAAATGATCAACGGGGCATTACGGACCCTCAACGGCGACATTATGATTCGAATGGGATTTTTCCTGTGTGATGTACATCGACAAATCGAAGACTTGTACAAGAATCAGGTCAGTCAATATCATGGTAAACTTTTTAACGTCTTTCGAGGACAAGGTCTATCAAAAGCAGATTTTCAAAAGCTCGCAGAAAACAAAGATGGGCTTATTTCTTTTAATAACTTCTTATCTACCAGTACAAATCAAAAAGTCTCTCTCGATTTCGCCAAGAAAGCCTTAAGCACAAATGATATGGTTGGAATACTATTCCAAATAACAATCGATCCTAAGTTATCATCGACTCCATTCGCCTCCATTCGTGAAGAAAGTTATTTCAAGAAGGAAGATGAAATTCTTTTCTCCATGCACACCGTGTTTCGCATTGGTGAAATTCGAAAAATTGACAACAATCGTGCACTTTATCAAGTCGATCTTCAACTTACGTCAGATGATGGTCCACAACTTCGAGAATTAACTGACTACATACGACAAGAAGTCGACGGTACCGGATGGTATCGAATGGGGCAACTGTTACTCAAAACAGGTCAATTCAACAAGGCCGAAGAACTATATACAGTGCTGCTAGAACAGACGACCAACGACAGTGTCAGAGCAGATATTTATTACCAGCTTGGATGGGTGAACTTGAATCAAGGACAATACGAACAAGCAGTTGCATTTTACGAACAATCTCTGAAAATTGAAGAGAAAACTCTCCCCGAAGATCATCCTTCATTAGCTCCTACGTACAATGATATTGCTCTAGTGCATAACAGCATGGGTGACTACTCGAAAGCACTTGACTTTTACGAAAAATCACTTGCAATAAAAGAAAAAGCTCTGCCTTCGAATCATCCCGGTTTGGCTGCTTTATACAGCAACATCAGTCAAGTGTATAATAACATGGGTCACTACTCGAAAGCACTTGAATTTTCCGAAAAATCACATAAAATCTTGGAAAAAGCTCTGCCTTCGAATCATCCCGATTTGGCTCCTTCGTACAGCAGCATTGGTCTAGTGTATAACAAAATGGGTGTCTACTCGAAAGCACTTGAATTTTCCGAAAAATCACTTAAAATAAGAGAAAAAACTCTGCCTTCGAATCATCCCGATTTGGCTACTTCATACAATAACATCGGTGGAGTGTATAATAACATGGGTGACTACTCGAACGCACTTCAATTTTACGAAAAATCACTTGCAATAAAAGAAAAAGCTCCGCCTTCGAATCATCCCGATTTGGCTACTTCGTACAACAACATCGGTCGAGTGTATAATAACATGGGTGACTATTTGAAAGCACTTGAGTTTTACGAAAAATCACATAAAATCTTCGAAAAAGCTCTCCCTTCGAATCATCCCTCATTGGCTACTTCGTACAGCAACATCGGTGTAGTGTACAACGACATGGGTGACTACTCGAAAGCACTTGAATTTTACGAAAAATCACTTCAAAATAAAGGAAAAAACTCTGCCTTCGAATCATCCCGATTTGGCTATTTCGTACAACAACATCGGTCAAGTGTATAACAAAATGGGTGTCTACTCGAAAGCACTTGAATTTTCCGAAAAATCACATAAAATCTTGGAAAAAGCTCTGCCTTCGAACCATCCCGATTTGGCTACTTCGTACAACAATATCGGTGGAGTGTATAATGACATGGGTGACTACTCGAAAGCACTTGAATTTTACGAAAAATCACTTGAAATAAGAAAAAAAGCACTGCCTTCGAATCATCCCGATTTGGCTATTTCGTACGCCAACATCGGTGGAGTGTATAATGACATGGGTGACTACTCGAAAGCACTTGAATCTTACGAAAAATCACATAAAATCTTGGAAAAAGCTCTGCCTTCGAATCATCCCGATGTGGCTACTTCATACAACAACATCGGTAGAGTATACAGCAACATGGATGACTACTGGAAAGCACTTAAATTTTACGAAAAATCACTTAAAATAAGAGAAAAAACTCTGCCTTCGAATCATCCCGATTTGGCTACTTCATACAACAACATCGGTCAAGTGTATAATGACATGGGTGACTACTCGAAAGCACTTGAATTTTACGAAAAATCACTTGAAATAAGAGAAAAAGCTCTACCTCCGAATCATCCCGATTTGGCTATTTCGTACAGCAACATCGGTCTAGTCTATAAAAACATGGATGACTACTCGAAAGCACTTGAATTTTACGAAAAATCACATCAAATCTTGGAAAAAGCTCTGCCTCCGGATCATCCCTCATTGGGTACTTCATACAACAACATCGGTGGAGTGTATGATGCCATGGGTGAGTACTCTCAAGCGCTGGAATTTTACGAAAAATCACATAAAATCTTAGAAAAAGCTCTGCCTTGGAATCATCCTGATCAGGGAAAGTCCTACGGCAACATCGGTCAAGTGTATAACAACTTGGGTGACTACTCGAAAGCACTTGAATTTTACGACAAATCACATAAAATTAAAGAAAAAGCTCTGCCTTCGAATCATCCCTCATTGGCTATTTCTTTTGGCAACATTGGTGAAGTGTATAACAACATGGGCAATTACTCAAAAGCACTTTCATTTCTAGAAAAGGCGCTTGCTATCCAACAAAAAACACTTCCGCCATCACATCCTCATATTAAAGAAACGATACGAAGAATTAACAATGTGAAAAACCTGTAATTTTTTGTTTTGATTTGCTGAATAAGTTTATTTGCATTACAATTGAGTTCGCTTTTTCTGGGCTCATTCTCGCGTAGGCGCGACCAGGAAGACTCCCTGTAAGCCCACAATGGGTACACGCAGAGCGGACTACGCCGGACTGGTCGGGCATAATCAAAGGTGTGAGATACGTGAACGGCGACAGGGATCTACGAACAGACGGCCTTCCGGAGTACTCCACTGCTTTCGCCAACATAGACACAAAAAGTCTCCTTGGGTCAGATTACGAAGCCATCTGACGGGCTGTGATATAAAATAGTATCTATCTCCCTCCAGATAATAATATAAGTATGAAAGAAAAAATTAACTTGAAAAGTTCTAGTGGCCAATAGAACTTCTCAACTTATTTATTAATTTTTTATCCCAATACGAAAAAAAAGAAACAACATACTCTATTTAAGATTGGAATATATATATATATAATATGTAAATGTATAAATATCATAATTAAGTACATAATTGTATCTTGCACCTTCTAAAAAAAAAACAATTTATTAGAATACTTATTCAATCTATCGTTGATACAATAGATCTATTGAATTGAATGATTTTATACAAGAAAATCATTCCTTATATAGGATATTTGAAAAACATGAACTATCACTTAATGATAATGATTAATAGATAATCATCGACGATCAATTTATCGTCAGTCGACGATGAATATGTACTTATTCTATTTACATCACATTCACAGCCGTAACTCAGTGATTAAAAAAAAAAAGAAAACAAAAACAATTCATTTCAATGGTTATTGTTTGAATTTCCATGTAGGAAATTTCATTCTTTTCTTTGACATCATTTTCATTGCATTATGATGATTATTTTCGAAAACTAAGATTTCTTCATTACTTTCATTAGTTTTGTGCGATTTGAATCCTTTTTATAGAATTCAAGGTCTTTCTTTTTGTATCCTTCTCATCATGTTATTTTCATGAATTAAAAGCACGATTTTCATCAATGAATTTCAAACGACATTAAAGAATACATATGGTTTATTCATCACAAATGACTTTTTTTTTGTCATTTTATAAGTCACACCCTCAAGATATTGTACATCTGATGTTAAATCACGTTACAAGACATGTACATGTTTGAGTTTTTAATGAAGCTCTACATCAATTAATTACTTAACGAGCTTTATTGTAAAATATTTTCGTACATATATTTGTTTTCATGCATGAATTCTTTTCGAAATATCACTTGATTGATAATAATAGTCTTTATGATAAAGATATTGATGTTGAATTGATAGTTATTATTTGTCATGATTTATCAGGTATAGATGATAGTTCCAAAGAAATAGATTACTGTTTTCATAATGGT